AGGGGGGGTATTGGAGTATGATTCCTATATCAATTAGGAATCATATAAACTAGATTTAGATAAGCTTTAATATGTTTTTCCTATTCTATTTAGGTTCTTTATGATTTTCCTGTTATGACTTAGCTTATCTTGGTATATAAACCAAGCTTATTCATCAATAAAATCAACTTACTTTTGATCCTAAACAAGAATTTGTCATTTTGGAACCCAACTCAGTTTGCTTAGTTTGTTGAACTTTTGCAAGAATCTTTCTGCTAATACCCTTGCCTTCAACTGGAGTCTTCTTATCTTTGCCTTCAACTGGATCCTTATCTTTGCCTTCAACTGGATTCTTATCTTCATATGTGATATCGACCTGTATCCAACACATCCCATTGTAATAAGTACTTCAAAAAAAAAAAAAAGAGATGAAAGTAAAGACATTAGGGGAACACATGAGAAGCTTACATTGTATTGGAAGAAATCTTGACTTTTTGTGTTGGTGAAGTTGACTTTAAAGTGGTTAGTGAGCAGATTGATCTTATTTTCTTTGGTATCCTTTTCAATCCGAGCCATTTGACGAGGACCAGTGCTACTTGAAGCCATTTCTGGAGGAGCAAAACAAACACACAAGGTCACAGTTAGTAACAATCTTGAGGAAGCAAACAAATAATAAAGACGCTTAAAATTATTACGGATTTTCAGGAATAATAATGGAGATGCTTAAGTAAATTGTGATGTTAAGAGAAGCTTAAGAAGATTAAAACCACGTTAAAACATTAAATTTTTGCTTAACTTAAACCAAAACAATTATCAAGTCAATATATCTTAACAAAGAGATATGGAAACAGAGGCTAAAGAATTGTATTCATGAGACGAAGAGAGCCTAAGAACCATTAAAACAAATGATCATATTTCAACAACTTAAAGATATTCTGATAAAATCTAATCAAGAAAAAAATGAAATAGAAGAAGCAAGAAGGGGAGTTAAACATGAAGATTTATCAACAATTGTCGAAGATAAAGAGAAAAATCTTGCCTGAGAAAAAAAGATCGAGAGCAAAAAAAGCAAGAGAGAATATGTAAGATTAGACAGAAGAGTGCAGTGAGTGCGATGGAGAAACTAAACTACTCGTTCACCTATTTATACTAATTTTACATGAAATTCGTAATTAATGTGCATTGATATTTCACAACTACCTTAGCATAACTCTGTATATCTACGGCCCCATCTTTTTCTCTAACATTTCTCGAATTATCTTTTTATGTATGAGAAGTAAGTATTAACAGCTAGCTCGTGTGACAGTCCTCCTAAACATACTTTGAATGGTTGGCGTGTTTGACAAACCTATCCATTTTCCTCTTTTCTATACTCTTCCACTACGTATTAAAAGCATGTTTTGTTAAAATAAAATACTAAACGGGAGTAAAACTAAATAAATATTATAGACACCCTCTAAACTGTAGAGATTTCATTTTTTTTTTATGTTATAAGATATTTTAATCTTTAAATGCAAGACTTAACGTATATGATGTTTTCTGGTTACTGGTATTGTACAGTATATTTTATGAATGACCGAACCATTTTACATTGAACATTAAAGAATGCTTTTTAAAAAATTTTGTTTACATTTTGAAAAAAAAAGAGAAAACCTTCATAGGAAATAATTAAAAGTAAAACTAACTACCCTCTTATTTCTTTTTCTTTATTTTTTTTGAGAATTTCCCTTCCTGTGTTTTCTTTCTTTTATGGTACATCCGTCTCTCGCTCACTCTCCTTCGATTTCTAGTAAGTTTGTTAAATGAGAGTTAACATCAAGTAAATTTGGTGATCAGTGACGATGATAGATTAGTTTAGTGGACCATGCATCTGAAAGAAAAAGCATTATGAGAAAAAACCCAATGAATTCATCGTCATCATTCAACTTCCAACCTAAACGTCAAACTTCACCACACGTTTAAGTTTAAAGATATGTTAAATCTTTCAATGCAAGTTTTAACGTATTTGATGTTTTCCTAATTACTGGTATTTTTCTTTGGTCGACTCCTAATTACTGGTATTATAACAGACTATTTTATAAATAGCTGGAATATTTTACATTAAACATTAAAGAATGTTTTTAAATAAATTGTTGTTCATTATTCTCTAAACCATCTTATATTTTGAAAAAAGAAGAGTAAACATACATAGGAAATAATCAAAACTACCCCTCTTCTTTCTTTTTTGAGAATTTCCCTTCCTGTATTTTCTTTCTTTTTTGGTAGATCCGTCGCTACCCCACTCTCCTTCAATTTCCAGTAAATGACAATTAACTTTAGTAAATTTGACCATTAATGACGGTGATAGTTTTGTATAGTAGACCATCTAAAAGAAAAAGCATTATGAAAAAAAAAAGAATTCAAAGTCATCATTCAAAAGCTACACTGTGTAAGTAAGTTCCAGCCTAAACGTCAAACTTCACCACACGTTCAAGTTTTAAAGATATGTTAATCTTTAAATGCAGGTTTTAACGTATTTGATGTTTTCCTAATTACTGGTATTTTTCTTTTGTCGAATCCCAGTTACTGGTATATTATATATACAGTCTTATTTTATGAATAGCTGAACTATTTTACATTAAACATTAAAGAATGTTTTTAAAATAAATTTTTGTTCATTATTATCTAAACCATCTTATATTTTATAAAAAAAAGAAGAGTAAACATTTTTTGCTAAACAACAAGAGTAAATGATCAAACTACTTCTCTTCTTTCTTTTTCTTTTGAGAATTTCCTTTCCAGTATTTTCATTATTTTTGGTACATCCGTCTCTCCCTCACTCTCTTTCAATTTCTAGTAAATTTGTTAAATGACGATTAACTTTTAAGTAAATTTGATCATTAATGACGATGGTAGTTTTGTATGGTGGACCAACTAAAAGAAAAAGCATTATGCGAAAAAAACAATGAACTTATCGTCATCATTCCAAAACTACACCGTGTAAATTCCAACCTAAACGTCAAACTTCACCACACGTTCAAGTTTTAAGAAACACACCAAATAGAAATATACTAATATAGACGCATGTGCTAACAATTGTTCACAGAAGAAAAAGTTAATTCCAACCTAAACGTCAAACACCACCACACATGAATTTATGTAAAGAGTGTGACACTTTCTTATGCGTTAAGAGTATAAATAAAGGATAAATTATTCTGCTGTAAAATAGGAAAAATATGTAATAAATTTGTAAACTACAAAACAAAAAACTGAGAACAAGAGGAAACATTTGAACTTTTTTTCAACCACCACTAATTTACTAGAAAAGCAAACAAACTGAGCTCTATTTTTGTATAGAAATTAAAAAAAAAAAGTACTTTGTATAAGATTTTGATAATCAGTGAATTTTAGTGATATTTTACTCGCAATTTTTTTGTTTAAACTCTTTTCCTGAACAAACTTCACAGATTAACGTTTTCCGAAATATAAGAATTGAAAAAAAAAAACGAGCTAAAACCGAATCATCTCAGTTTGCATTCAATCATAAGACACAAATCTGCTTATTAGCTCAAAAGCCAAAATGTGCCAAGTTTTTTTTTTTTAAGTTGCTTCACTGAGTGTTGTTGGAGGGAAAACCGAATGACATATGCTTAGCCCTTCGCCTTCCCGCTTGCTCTTCGTTTTGTATGCCACGCTCGATTCCTATCGCCATTAACAGGGTTCTTATGAGCAGCAATGGAGCATTGGTCAGGCCTTCCACTCTTTGCATTCATCTCCATTTGCATCCTCCTTCGCCTCATCCTGTTCTCAAGCCTCATTCCTTTCAGAGCTCGAGCTCTCCTCTCAATCTCCAACGCTTGTGTGAAGTTCCATATCCGAACTACGCCTTCTTCACCTCCACACACTATACGGTCACACCCCACGTCCACAGAGAACAGGTTTGAACCGAACCCGTGCAGCATTCTTTGCGGCGGTTCCACAATTCTCGAAGAAACTCTTTTGGGTAAGCCACGACGGTTAGTCTTCAACAACTTCCTAACGTCTATAAGTGCGAGTTTACCGTCACCAGAGGCTGATACAAGCCAGGGAAACTCGAAAGAGAGTGAGTAGACAGGACCAGTGTGAGGCATCCATTGAGATATGAGCACAACGCTTGTTTCGTTACCGTGTTTTCTGATCTCAAACATTTTGATCCCTCCATCTTCTCCACCAGTAAACAAGAAATCTCCACTATGGCTTCTTGCAAGAGAGTAAGTGTTACCCTCATGAGCATCATGGATGATAGCCTGTGGAGTCTCACTGCTAATGTCCCAAATGTACACATCCGAACCAGCAGCACAAGCGATGCTGGTTTCATGGGGCGCAAGTCCCCAAACCCAATCACTATGCCTCAACGTTTTGACACACTTGAACGAAGACCGATCCCATATACGAACAGACATGTCCCACGAACCGCTGTAGATATTCGTCATGTCAAGAGCAAGAGATGTAATAGGCCCCTCATGCTCCCAAAGACGAAACTCAGTCTTCTCTTTCTGAAAACCTGTGAGGTCAAACAGGTTTCTCAGACCATCAACTGCTTCCCAGCAATGTATAAAACCATCAGTACCCCCAGCTACCAACAGCTTCGTATCAGCCGCAACTGCTCTGATAGTACAACCAAGCGGTTTAGACGCTGCAATAGACAAGCCTTCTTCCATCCCCCACATCCGAACAATGCAATCATATCCAGAAGTGAAAATGAGCTTAGCAGAAGCTAAGAGAAAAACAGTACGCACTGCTTCAGTGTGGCCATAAAGGGTATCAATACTATAACGTCCTAAAAACGTCTTGCTCCTATACTCCCTCTCAATAAACAGCTCTTTCCATGACCTCTCCTCGGAAGCTTTACCTCCAAAGACTACAGGGAGTCCCCATCTCTCACAGTAGAATCCTTTCCACGCGTGATGCTCTGAAGCTAACCTATGCAGACAAGTCGAAACACAGGACACAAGGCCCAACTCTTTTGGGTCAAGACAGTTAAGAATCTCGGATATCAATGCCTGAGGCAAATCGATAATGGTATATCGATGAGTAGTAGTAGTAGCACACGAATCCTTGTCACTAGGAACTACCAAAGTCGCCTTCTTTTGATGATAACAAAGCTTCACACATGGAATCTCGACAGACCCATCTTCTATTCTCAACTCAGCTCCTTGGTTTGTCAAATCTTCGCTAACAATCGCAACTTCAGATCTCTCTTGGCACTCAAATTCCATGAAATATCAAACCCAGCGTCCGATGTATTAGCTCCAAACACCGAAAACAAGGAGCTTCTCACGAAACGAGATCTGCAAAATCTACAGATCTCCAGAGACGATTCCAGCTACGCTTGAAGGAAAAAAAACGAGAAAACGATTCAATTCCAACGAAACAAAACTCAATTTTCACATCACAGTGAATATCCCCAAATTCGATTTTAACAATCAAACCCTAGCAAAAGAGATTTGTATAATTCTTATAGCTTAACGAAAAGTAAAAAAACAATGAGAAATCTCAGAATCTACGTACCTCAAATACTCGTAACGGAGAAGAGATTTTTCGCCCAAATCAACGTTGCCCTAATTTCACAGATCGAAATTGATGAGAAGAAGATTGGAGAATGAGAACCAACCGCTAAGCAAAGACTCAGAAAATATCATTTTTCATTTTAAAATGTTTAAATGGTCCTTTTACGGTAGTATTATAACCGTCAGATTAAAAAAAAACATCGGACGGTCAAGATCGCATCCTAGTTTTACTGCGTTAATTTTTTCAAACTTCTACATTATGACTCGTCATCCTCTCTCATAAACGAATCAACCTCAAATGTCTGACTCTCCCTCAAGCCATGACCAGGCCATGACTCTCCGGCGATCGCCGGCGATTCAGAAACCAAATGTCAAAAAGCTTTACAATCCTTATCCACCACTATCCCCCTCCTCCTCTCCTCCAACTCCGTCTCCACCGCGATCTCCTCCTACTCCCAGAGGACCCAGACTCAGGCGCCGGCGACAAAAACCTCTGCCGTTGGCTTTACGACACCTTCCAATCCACGGAGCCTCCTCTCCAGCTCCTCGTCCCTCTAGTCGCCGGACTCTACCTCTCCCGCGTCCCTCTCCGGCAACCACAGGCCGGATTCGAAGCCGTGTTGCTCGCACGTGCCGGTCAGGCGATAACCGTCAACATCATCCTCGATCTCTCTCACTCTAGTCTAGTATTTACCATGAGGCCAAAGGTCCATTTTAAAAAATAACTCCACGTGTCTTAATATAGCCGTTATATCGATCCGCACGGTACGGTTCGATCACCCCTGCGCGAAGATTTTAGGAGTTGCGTTGGAGCTTTATTATAGTAAGATCACGTGGATGTCACGTGAGTCTAAGCTTAATTTCTGTGAGTCGTGTGAGAAATGGGCGGGGACAGAACGGGGAGACGGTGGTCCCTGAGGAGGAGAGTGTTGCTGGTATGGTAGGAAGGTCTGAGAGAGAGAGTGTGGATGGACGATACTGAGGATCTTGGGGCACTGTTTGATGGGGATGAGGGTTGAAGATAGGGAAGTGGTGGAGGCGGCGAGTAAAGCTTGTCAGAGTTTGTATCTTTGGTCTTTGCATGATATTAATCCTAAGGCGATCTTGGCTACTGGGAGTCTTCTTCGGCTTAGATATGGCTCTTGATCCCAAGAACCAGGTCGATCACACTGAGATATCAAGCGACAATATTCTCTCCGTTTGACAATAAGTTAGCTGTTTTGTTTTTCAGTCAAACGCATGTTAAGATCATAAAACCCTCACAAAAGATAAGTTTTTTTTATTGCAATGTAAGGAGAGGCCACGTTTTCTAATCTTTAATGATGAATATGACAATCCTTGAAAATTAGGTTTATTATTATTGTGATAAGAGTAAGCTACATGGCCTCTCAAGGAAAAAGATCCTGCATGTCGATGATGTCTGCAAGAACACCGGCTGCAGTTGTGTCGTTCCCGGCTCCGGCTCCTTGAATCACCAATGGCTGCTCCTTGTAGCAACGGCTACGTATCTCTACCTGCAGGTTTTTTTCCAAACAATTCAATCATATTTTTTCATCACGAGACAAATAGTCAGAAGTATTGTGTTTGCGTGCAATAATGTGAGCTAAAGACATCATTTGTGTGTAAGGAAGGGGAATAACGGTAATAAGCTGATTTATATGTGTTCATTTTCTCTTACTATATTGTCACTGCCTCTTAGTCGTCCCAATGGAGAATCTTTTGGAACTTCTCGAATCCCAACTTGAACGCTGTAGAGAGACAGAGCAGAATTCAAAATCAGACAAAATTCCGACAATGTTGTACAACTAGCATTCTGAGGGTGGTTTCAGTTGCATGTTGAGTGTACCAAACTAAAGTTACTTGTTACTTACCTTGAGCCCTCAATCATACAGACATAACGAAGCACACATCCGTTTGATGAAGCTTTTTTAACTCTCTCCTCAATGTTCTGATCAAGTTTTGCTATTCCATTTTGGAGAAAATCATCCACAGTCATGACTCCAGGTCTCATCTCTTCCGGGTACAAGCTCTCTATCTACAATTATGTCAGGAGAAAAAAATGATTTAAGGGACAATCTTTTCGGAGAGAATGCACAAAGAACGTTCAGATAAGACTGAGACCAGCATCTCTAAAGCTCAGTTCAAACTAAACAAAGGTGAACTAGAAGAATTCACCAGACACAATTTCAACTGAAATTTCACTCAGAGTTGGTTCACCAAACATATAATAATCACAGCATATCATTCGACTGACAATGAAAAGTTTTGAATACGGTTCATACCTTTATGCTATCCATAATTATCCTCTTCCCAAGAAGTCGAGCAAGAATCAAAGCCTATCATGACAGAAGAAAAAAAAAACAAGATGGTTGATATCCATAAAAGTTTGTATCAAAAGAACTCTTGTCAGCAGAAGAGTTTTTCTTGAAATCAAAAGTGTTCATAATCGAAGTAAGTGACCACAAGAGAAATCATGGCTGCTTTTTTTATGCATTCATTTTAACTCTCACAAGAGACACAGTATCTATCTATCCTCACCTTTCTAGCAACATCCATGCCGCTGAGGTCGTCACGTGGATCTGTGAAGAAAGCAATAGTTCGAACAAGTCAATCAAACATCATATTTAGAATATGTCAAACGTGGTTTTTTTTTCCACCGATTACGAGGCAAGGAAAAAGCAAGTTGGAGCATATTGTCAATCTACAAAACATATTATGGCGTGTAGAAAAGCAGAAAAATAGATATCTACTTTATTCTAGTGCTGCTAAAAGAAAGTAGTTGTCTATCAATCAGACAAAACATGATACTCTATGTGCCCATGATGACTAAATGAAACTGGACAAGACCTGGTTCAGTGTACCCCAACGTTTTGGCAGCTCGAACAACTTCGCTTAGAGGCCTTCCATCTTCAAGCTCACTCATTACATATCCCAGGGTACCTATTACAAATGAAGCAGGATACGAAGATTCATGAATAGACAGTACATGCTTAAACTCGGAAAAGAAGAGATAACAGTAAAATGAATTGCATCTGGAAATGTGATTACCGCTCAAACTACCGACAATACTATGAACAGGATCTCCTGATGAAATTATACGGTTCATGGATGCAATGACAGGAAGCCCAGCACCAACCTGTATAAAAAAGAGCAGAGCAAGACCTTTAAGGTTTTTCACTACACAGCCAACCGTATATCATTATCAACGACTACAAAATATGAAGTTTAATAGTGTCACTCTATATACAGGCCGTGTTTCACCTACAGTGGATTCATGGCGGATACGTCGAGGATCCAAAACCAATTTGTCATAATGTTCCTGCGTAGAAGACAAGATGATAAAAGTATGTAAGACGTGACTATTAGGTTGTAAAGTTGTGAGAATTCGATTGGCCTAAAAGTTGGAAAAAGACAGCTTCAATCAACAAAGCATCATTTTCTGCTTTAAACAACAAATTTCCAACAAAGGTTCAAGACTCTATGCTGTCTCCAGATGAAATTATTCGTGCTAATTATTCACCACAATAAAACCAAAAGGGCAGATAAATAACTCAGGTGAACATTTTTTGATGCATATGCCTCTCCACATACAGAACACAAGCAAAAATGGTAACTAGTAAAATAAGAAGGTACCAGTGTGGAAGTAAGAGGCTTCTTATTTGCTAGGACAGCACAGCAACCCAAGTCAACTGCCTTCATCAATATTTCAACCGTTTCACTGCTGGCTGAGCAATCCACAACAACTAAGCCTATATAGCAAAAAACCATGAATTTAAATCTTATAAAAACTCAGAGAACCATGTCTTAAAGCTACAATGCATTATATTTAGTCCTAACACGAAAGCTGACCTGTAGATTTACCCAGAAGTTGTGCAATTTTTTCTGTCTCCCATCTTGAAAGCTCAGAACCATTGAACACTCGACATTCACCTTTTTCTGAAAATTATTGAAAACAGATGCTTATAACCCCCATAAAGGATGATTGGTGAAAGAGTTTTAGTCTCACGTAAAGCACCAAGCGTGGTTAATGCAGAACCAGCAGATTTGATACTGCAAACTTCAGACAAGAGATCATCATCAAGCTCTTCTTTGAGCACATCTATTGGAACAAGTAAGGATTTACTGTCACTGACTCCAATCACCCGTAACTGAACTCCCTGTCCCAACATAAATACAAAAACAAAATAGAGGATTTTATTATTACAGAACTGATTCAGTATTTGTCCCTACATGAACATCAACATCAGATTTATTCATTGGTTAGTGAGAAATGAATACGGACCATTTTTGCGTGAAGCGATCGGCAAGAGACAATGTGTTGAAGAAGTTGTCGGCCAACGCCCCCACATCCCATGAGAATCACAGAGATCTTCTTCATCCTCTTCTTCCTTCCCTCTTCTTCTTCTTCCTCGGATTTCGCCTGCTTCTGTAGCAGCAGCTTCGCATCTATCTGGTTAAATGGGCCTGGAAAGCTGAAAACATTTTAGTAATCAGATTGGGCCTCTGCTTGTTACACCAGTCTAAGACGTTAAAGATGGTTTATTCCGGTTCGTACGAGTGAAAATTTTGTTGGTTCGATTTTTGAATTTTTGTTTGGTATTTCAAAAAAAATTCTTTTTTTTTTTAATTATATATATATTTATTTCAACCCGAGAACGGGAATTTAGATCCGGTTACAAGCTCAAATTGAACAAAAGCTCCCAAGTCAATGTATTACAAAGCTACGTTCACCCACCCACCCACTAAACCCGGCACGTTCCGGTAGCCCGATTTTAAAATTCCTAGGACCCGACTGTTGTTCTCACCAAAAATGATGACCATGAAACCGTGAGGTTCTCCTCGTTGCCTCGGATGCCGAGAACTTCCATGACATTCCCGAAGTAGCTAGCTCTCGGGATCTCTTTGGACTTATAACTTTCACCGTCATTAAGCGCGTAAACGAAAATAGAAGTAGGAATCAGAAGCCATACCAAGTGAAAAACGCTCCTAACTCACTGTGCAGACTTCTATACGCTAAACATCCAGGACTAGACACCATAGATAGTCTCTAGCCAAGCAGAAATAAAAGACGGACTCGGTCCAGTCGCGACTAGACGAAGCCGAAGACACTCCAAGACCTGCAAAAACGTTAGTGAAGCAACACCACCATGATTTCAACAAACTCATGGCGCTGGGAAGTGCCGCCTCAACTGACCAAGCCACCGAAGGATGAGAAGCCTCTGTTGACAAACAGAGATGCTCGAGACCCTCGAAGGTCGCCTCCCCGAGAACCGGGTAAAGGTAAGTTCTTGACGCCGAAAGCAACAACCTGTGGCAAGGATGAAGCTTGAACAAAACACAAGCAAGAGTGAAACCAAGCAGGAGCAAGTCGGCACACTCCGCTTGTCGACACCGAATAGACGGGAAGAGGAAGGAAGATTGAGAAGAAGGCCACAACATCGCCTTGGAAAACGCCATAGACGACGCCTCCAACACGGCTCCGGAGCAGCACTTCAAGCAAGACCACCGCGTGCTCCGACACACGCCAACAGCACGAGCTACAAACGTCTTCGAGTAAACGGACCTCCGAAGTTCTCAAATCGCAAGTACTACAGATCCCGCCCGATCTAGACGCCCAGGAAAGGACAGAGAACCGACACAACACGACCATCACCCGTCGAGACCCATACAGACCAAAGACTGCAGAAGGAACCGACGACGAGACTCCAACCCGCCTCCACGCGCTACTGGCCCTCCAAGGGGTAAAAAGAGCCCCTTGCACAGCCCTAAAAGCCGACTCATAAGCCTGAGAACACACAAACCCCGCGCCGTCGCTCCAACCCTCGTAATCTACACCGGAGACGGAGCTCCTCACGTGCGGAGACGTCTCAGATGAAACCCTTGGAACAGAGCAGCAAGCAAAGCAAAGGAAGTGAAGGTCACAGGAGAAAAGCAAATAAGAAAAGGAGAGATTTAAGAGTAGAGGAGGGGCTCCCGACGTCGAACAGACGCTCACGCGCCGTCGAGGAGTCGGAGCCACAGAGATCTGTTTTTTCTTGTCGAGAGAAGGAGATAGATGAGAGAGAAAGTCCTTTTTTGTTCAACACCCCAAAATATACAAATTTTCTCTTCAAAAAAATTCTTATATTTGTCTTTGATTAAAGAAGCTTGAATACGGAAATCAATGGATTTTGCGCCTCCGGAGAATTTCTTTGCTGACGAGTCTGAATTTTTTGTTCCAATTGTCTTTAAAACTTTGTTTGATCGAAGAATCGGGTCACCTCCAACCTTTAAGTTTTGATTTATTTTTCATTCCCGTCAAATCAATGCTTGTTTCTCTACTAGTTAGGGTTCGTGTTTTGATAAAAATAATCTTGTTACTGAATTTTGAGAAATGTAGATTTTGCTTCATGCCTGGTGCTTTGTTGTTATTTTAGTGGCTCCTCTTGTTTTGTTGAGTCTAGGTTACCAGCAGCTATGGAGGAGGAGAAACGTAAAGTTGCTGTCAAGACTGAGAAACGTGAGTGTGCTGTCGAGGCTGTTTTCAGAAAGACCATTGATTTGGTAACAAAATCCTTTTTCTTTTTCTCTGAATCTCTGTTAGAAATTAATTTAGCATTGTGTTAATTTTACAATTGAAAAGGATTTGGTTTTGCATCAGAGACAACAGTTGATGGATATTGATCTGGTGGACGTTTTCCCTTGGTTCCCAAGTCAATTTCAGCCAAGTTTCGAGAGATGCGTTAGTGCTATCTACTCTCTAGAAAGATGTCGACGAAGCTTATAAATGTGTCACCATACAGATCCGTGACGATCTGGGCAGAGTCTTTTACTACTTCAAGAACTGCAAAGACGAGAAAAAGGAAGCCACTGTCTACTTGGTAGACCATCCTCCTTACTCATACCGTCCTCTTCATCAACTCTCACAAAGTATGCAAAAAGGTTTTTGATAAAATTAATAGGCTATGAGTTCAAAAGAGTAAATCATTTTAGTTTTTAGCTTTGTCGTTAATTTGTATCGTTGAGTTTTGTTATAAAAAGATAGTTGAGAGGTTGTTCTCTGAGATCGAGTTTTGCATAGTAATGGTGGGATGAAACAATTTCCATGGTAAACAATCTATGATAGAACTACTATTTGAGTAAATAAATTAGAAATCAGTCTTTTAACCTCTTACGTGTTTATTGCGGGATATGTGTAAAACTTGGTTTACATAGCTGATAATGATTTTGGTATCTTTGAATACAGGTATTTCTAATTATTTTGAACAAATGAGAAATGTCGTTGTTATCTCTATGCCATTAAAATTTCTTTTCATAGTCACAGATCTTGAACCCCTCCTTATATATTTCCAAGGTTGATGAGAAAAGAATGACATAATAATCTTAAAAGTGGGCACAAGCATCTCATTTCCGAGATTGTTAACACTATTGTTTAGCTTTGGTATTGTCTATCAAATGAGTGCCTTAGCAAGAATGTAGTGATTATGGACCCTCTCTTTTTTTTTGCTTAATTTTTTCTGCAATTTAATTATTTTTTTTCCATAATTTACTTCTATTTTTTTTTTGCAATTCTGTGATTTAAAAATAATTACCAATCGGAGCATATATGAACGAAGTTCATAAAGTAAAAGCAAAGGACTCTAAAATTGAGGTTCTCTTCATCTCTTTCTCTAAATATCTTCACTGAAAGAAGTGAAGATAATCTAGCTTTAGCCGAGCTTTTGTTGTGATATAGTAAGCAAGTAAGGATTTAATATCACTGACTCCAATCACCGGTTGGTTCGGATGAGTGAGTAATTTTGTTGGTTCGATTGGATAAGTAATTCAATCCGTTATTAGAGTTCAATGATTTTGGTTCCTCAGATCTTTGTCTTCCTCCTCTCTTTAATTCCCCACCCCTTCTGATTCATATATATAGGAGACTGAGATCAAGCTGATGTTTTCTAGATCGGCAAGCAAAGATTTTGTGGATCCTATAGTTCTTCGAAATTTCACGGGAATGGATACGATAGGAGGAATCACCACAGTATTGCTCCTTCACTCGTTCATTCCGACGCACTGGTTACCTTTCTCCATCATCGGACGCGCTCAGAAATGGACACTCTCCACAACTCTCTTCCTCAATACAAAGGAGATTATGAGGGTCCTACATAAACTAAAGAAAGATGTTGGATCCTAATTTATAGGAGAGAATCAGTGAAACAGAAGATATACATGACTTATTCAAATAAGAATATTTGGCGTATTCTTTCATTTTGAACTCAATAGTGTTTTGTTTCGTTTCTTTTTAAGAACCAATTGATTAATGGCTGAGGATTTTTTGGACATTTCACTAAACTCGAAAAGATTCCCTATTGCAATCCGGTTTCGAACATCATTATATATTGTTTAGAAGGTTGTGTCCTCAACCTGAAGAAGCTCGTAAACGTGTGACTGTAAAGGTCTTTGATGATCAAAGAGAAGTGGTGTGTTACTTCAAAAATTGCAAAGAAGCAAGAAGGGAAGCTACTACGTACTTGCTTGACCATCCCCCTTCTTTATACTGTTCCACTTCGGAGGAGCTCGTTAGTTTGTGATGTTGCTCCTCCTACTCTCTTTATCCAGACAAGGGTAACATCTGGCTGATTGGTTTCCTTCGTTCTCAACTGTCATTAAATTCACTCCATATGAGTTGAAGACTATCCCCCGAGATATCCAACAAATATGCATTTTCCATCTCCGATTTGGAAACGCTGACTGCCCACAGCTATGAGTTCAAGAAGAGTAAGTCATTTCAGTTTTTAGCTTTGTCTTTAGTTTGTAAGTGTCGCAGAGTTTTGTTATAAGGAGATAGTTAAGAGGTTGTTCTATGAGATCGAGTTTTGCACAGTTAATGGTGGAATGAAATGATTTCCATTGTAAGCAATCATTGATAGAACTACTATTTGAGTAAATAAATTAGAAATCAAAATTTTAAACTCTTAATTGTTTATTGCGGGATATCTGCATTGGTTTACACAGTTGGGAATGGTTTTGGTATCTTTGAATATGGCTATTTCTGATGATTTTGAACAAATGAGAGATGTCGCTGTTATCTCTATGTCATTTAAATTTCTTTTCACATACAAAGATTTTGAGGCATTTCCTTATAACCGGACTACTGATTAATTGTTAGATTTAATAAATAATTATTTTATCTATATATCTATACTATTATTTTAGAAGTAAATTTGTTTAGATGTTATATTCTCCATGATTTTAGGTAATTTTGTTTATTTGTCATTTTTTATGATTTTGAATAATGATTAATTACTAAATTTATTAAATATTTAGATTTATTGTTTTCTATCTATTTATTATTCATTTATACTGTTATTTAATAAGTGAATTTATTTACGTGTCATGTTTTCCATGATTCTATGCAATTTAACTTATTTGTCATATTCTCAATAATTTTAACTATTTGTCATATTTTATTACCTTTAGCTAAATCATTAGTTTGAAACATCTCTATAATGTTATTTGAAAACTCACTTGCATACGTGTCTGATTCACGTTAACTCTCACGACGATTAATTACATTGGCACCTTTAATAAATTAAAAGAATTTCTATGTGATGGTTATTAATAACATATTTCATGTTCTTAATGAGATCTAAATAATTTAATTTAACTATTATAAACCTACATACATAATAAAAATATTTAGAAAATATAAATGAAATATTTATAACATATAAAGGAAATATTTATAAAATAGAAAAAAAAATTTATAAATGTACATAAATAATAATAAAAATAAAATATGTATGAAATATTTATAAAATATAAAGGAAATATATTACTATAAATAAACTCAAAAT